GGGGGGGGGGGGGTGCGGCAGGACGGCAGCACCAGTGCTTTGGACACTCACGTCCACCCCCAGGCCGTCAAGAGACCCTGTGTGCCAGACCCCATGATCCACACATGTTCCAGGCCCTGGAGGCCTCTCTCTGCTGCTTGTCTGTGCCTTGCCTGGTCTTCCGAGGCCCCCAAGTCACTAATGCTCCTGGTGGGGTCTGGCAGCTCCTGGGCAGGTGACTGCTCAGCCCTGCTCAGGGGCTGTGAGGGCAGCCAGCCAGGCATGCAGACAGGATTAGTTTCATCTAGGCCCAGCAAGTACCAATGCCAGGGACGCTCTGGGGCCTTTAGAAAATGAAAGGGTCACACGGGAGGCTTGTCCTGGTGAGATTTCATACATAAAATTTCTGTGGAGTTAAGAGAATTTGTGTCAAAACTTAGAAACTCAAAATAGGTGAGGGAGAGGGCTTGAAATGTGCAATATAAGAGTTGAGTAACAAGTTGTATTTTCCCAAACCCACTGCCGAGTAAAGGAGGCATCGTCCGTGGTGGAGTCACCAGAGCCTCAGGTTTCTGCCTCCCGTATCCCTGAACCTTTCTGAGACCTTGTGCCCACCTGAGGCAGGAGGATGAAGGGCTGGGGGAGCAGGGCTTTGTGAAGTCCTGTTTGGTTGGAGGAAGCCAGCCCCACCCAGGTGGGGGGTCTGAGAGGGGATTCTATGACTGGGCTTGCTCTGAAAGGCGTTTGGAGGTGTTTAGAGACGATCACCTGGTCCCAAGGCTAGGTGGGGTCTGTGGAAGGGGACCTAGGAGGGCCCCAGGGCCACAGCAGGTGAACACAGCCCTTGTTCGCTGATGCCTTTAGAGTTGTAGCCTCATGAGTCCTTCCGGGCAGAGCCTTGACTCCCTGTGGAATAGAGGCAGCAGGTGGGGACGCTGGGCATCAGGCGATGTGTGAATGGACAGCCCTGGCGTTTTGGGGTGTGGTTGCAGAGGCAGAGTGATGGTAGCTCTGGGCCAGGCTGGTGTAGGGGAGACAGGACTCCGCTCAGGTCGGCTGGTTTGCATTGGTGATGGGCATGGAAGAGTGATTTCATGTGAGTAGGGACAGGCCTGCCCTGTATTGTGTGGTGGGCCTGGGGTCCCCTGCAGTCAGCCCCCAGCCCACACGCCAAGGTCGCGTTGTCTCTGGTGCCTGGGTGGCAGAGGTGCAGGGCGGACACCTGCTGCCAGAAATCAGAGCACCTGCAGAGTGTTGTCCAGTGTGGCAGTGCCCACGCCACGGGGCAGGTTTATGTCCATGCATGCCCACGACCCTGCCTGACGCTGCTCCTCCCGTTCTCCTTGCAGCCCCATGCCGTCCCTGCAGCGACACGGAGGTGCTCTTGGCAGTCTGCACCAGTGACTTTGGTGAGTGCCCACGGTTCCCACCACGGGGAGGGCGCCCCACCTGGACCCAGAGAACCTTTCGGCACTGTCCCTGAACTCCGTGGTGGGGAGGCTGTGAACACACTGGGGTTGGTGCCCCTCTTCCATCGGTCATTGGGCTGCACCAGTGTGGCTCCAGCCCCGGGGAGGGGACCTAAGTGCACGGCAGGGAGAGGGCTGGGGATTCCTGTTTAAGGTGATCAGTGCATATTTTCCCACTTTGCATATGAGGTCATCACTCTTGAAGCCTCACCTCAAAACCTCACCCTCCGCCAGGCCCCCGCAGGTGCCACAGTGGGAGTTCCAGGCCCTGGTGGGTCCCAGGGCTGAGGTCAGGGACTCAGCTCAGGCAGAGGATGGCAGCTGTCACAGCTGCCACGGCAGCCACCCCGAGGGCAGTTACGTGTGGAACTGCAGGCTTCTTTCTGGGCCCGTGAGGGCAGGACCTGTTGAATCCCCCTGCTCTGCCCTGTCCTTCCTGCCTCCTTCCTCCCCTGAGCTTCCCAAAATCTTGATACAGATCTTGTGTGTTAACTGTGGCTACTTTTTTTGTCCTAACTTGAAAAGCTGACGCACAAAGTGGTTTCTTTCTTCTGTGTTCTCCCACTTGTGTGGCTGGCCCTTGGTAGAAGACATCTCCCCTGATAAAGCAGAGTCGGCGGGGACCACCCCAGGCAACCTTGCACACATGCATTGTCCTCTTTAATGAGAATTTCTGGAATGCAGAGATCGGGTCGGCTCTGTTCCAGCGCCTGCTCGCTGGCAGCCGGACACGTGCTGTTTGTTCAGCGGGCATCCCTGCCGACCTCGCTGACCCCATATCCTTCCCTCTGCAGTGGTCCGAGGCACCATCCAGAATGTCACCCACGAACCCGAGCGGCAGGAGTCGGCCATCCACCTGCACGTGAGCCGGCTCTACCGGCAGAAGAGCAAGGTGTTCCAGCCTGTGCCTGGGGGTGGCTGGCGGGGGCGCATCGCCACCCTGCTTGAGTGCGGCGTGAGGCCCGGGCATGGCGAGTTTCTCTTCACCGGACACATGCACTTTGGGGAGGCTCGGTTGGGCTGCGCCCCGCGCCTTGAGGACTTCCAAAGGATGTACAGGGACGCAGAGGAGAGGGGGCTGAACCCCTGCGAGATGGGTGTGGAGTGACTGCAGGGTGACCGAATCTAGGGTGGATGCCCGGTGCTCACGCAGAGTCTGACGCACAAGGTTTTGGCCGAGGAGTCCCTGACCGATTGATTGGAAATGCTGTAAAATGCAAACTAAGTTATTATATTTTTTTTTAAAAAAGAAATGTCCATAGGCAACAAACCCCTTTGCCTTTGTGTGCCATTTCAAGCCAGTTTTCAAAAACACCTGAAGTCATTGCCATTGCCTGGTGTTTGGGGGAAGTGCTGGCCCTAGCCCAGGCGAACCCGAACCCCAGGCTTTGTGCAAAGCTTGGGCACCATTCAAAGTTGTTTCTTACCATGGAGATTTATGGAGCCAAATACTTGTTTTATTTTTCATTTTGTTTTTGCTTTTTAAAGAATGTGCTTTGCCAGTTGTGCTCATTTGGGGCTGCAGGCTGCCTCCTTCCAGGGAATGAATACCAGTGACTGATGGGGCGATGACCAGCGTCCTCAGCCAGGCTGGTGTGTGCAGCTCTGAGCTGGGCGCGGACATGAGGCCTTTGCCTGGTCAGTACGCTTCTCCAGGGATTCCTGGCCCTGGCATCAGGGCTTCACATGGGCCCCTCTAAGGGCCTTGTTACCCTTACAATCCAGGAGATGCGCTGGCCTCAGCCAGATGCCCCTCCTTCCTGTTAACCCAGGTCCTGCCCTTTGACCCAACTTCCCCTAAATGCCTGCGCCCACAACAAGCCTCTGGACACCCAGGGCCTGGTCTGTGCTGCAGTCAGTTACCCCATATTCTCAAGGATGGGTTAGTGTCCTGTGGCTGCCATAACAAATGACCACAACTGGGGGCTTTTTTGACATTTTCTGATGCTATGGAGGCTCACACTCCCTCCAAGGCTCCAGGGTAGGCGTCTGCCTGTCTTTTCCAGCTTCTAGTGGCTACAACAATCTTTGGCATTCCTTGGCCTGTGGACACATCTTTCCAACCTCGCTTCTATTGTCACAGGGCCTTCTCCTCTCTGTGTCCTGTGTCTACATTTCCCTCTTCTTATAAAGACACCAGTCACTGGACAAGGGCCCACCCCAGTGACCTCAACTCGATTATATCTGCAAAACCCATTTCCAGATAAGTTCACATTGAGTTTCTGGATAGATTTTGGGGGACACTATTTACCCCAGTACAGGGTCACTGGGGTGTTAAGTAATCAGACCTGGGCCTATGTCCTCAGCTGTGAAATCAGGTGATTTCTCAGCAACTGTGGAGACTGAAGGGCAACCTGGGAGAGGCCCACAGTGGTCAGTGAGCCAGTTGCACTGAAGGCTCAGGCACACCGTGTGGCGGCTCAGATGTGCTCTGGCACAGGTGTGAGCCAACACAGGTGTGCCCTGGCTCACATGTATATAGACAGGTGTGCCTTGGTTCAGGTGTGAGCCAGCTCAGGTGTGCTCTGGCCCAGGCGTGTGCTGGCACAGGCCTGTGAGCCCCTGCAGGTCACAACAAGAAGCAGGTGCTCGACACCTGCACCACAGGAAGCACAAGAAGCAGGGCAATGACCTGAAGCAGCTGGTTGGTGACAGGAACAGGTCCGACCGTAGCTAGTAACTGATGGGTTATGCCTGGAGGATGAGTGTGACAGCAGCAGGTGTGTCTGGCCGGAGCTGGGAGGGCTGACCTGCTCCTGGGCTGTGCTCGGGGGCTTGGGGTTTTCTGTGCTGGCTCCTGGCTCCACCCCACTGACTCTGACACCAGAGGCCACAGGGCAGCGGAGGCTGCAGAACCGGAATGTCGGGTTTCAGCTTCGGGGCTGGTGCGGGGATGATGGGATCTACCAGGTCCTGACCCCGTGGCCCATGTCAGGTGCACAGCAGCATTTTCTCCATGGGGGACAGTCTGCAGGGGGGACTGGTGAGGAAGTGTGGGCCTTTGCCTGGGCTGGGGCTTGACACTGAGGGTCCAGCCCTCAGTGGGTGCCCTCAGGCAAGCGGGTGCCTGGCACACAGCCTCACTCTCCATGGCCTATGAACTTAGTACCCAGCACAACACCCCCCAGCGGTCCGGGGATGCTTGGTATGGGGCACAGAGCTCCTATGCCGATGCCCTCCTGCTGCCCAGAGCATCATGTGGGCATGTGCCAGTCTCCCCACACTGTCCTCGGGGAAGCCCCAATATTGTGGAGCCCTGAGGGACCAGGCGAAGCCCTTGGAGGGTCTCTAGAGATTCTTCTGCTGACCAGTCGCTCTGCTCTGCGGACTTGGTTTCAGTCAGCCCAGCCACTGTTTGGGATGGACCCTCCTGTGGCTCCAAGAAGAGGTTTAAGGGGAGGCGCAGCCATCCTTCCACCTCCGTCCCTCCTGCTGGAAGCAGCAAGCCCAGGCCTCCCAACACAGTAGTTTCCCTGCTTCCTCTTCACTGCGAGACTTGGGAATGAGACCTCACTGATTTCACCTCTGCATTTCCCCAGCTCACTGCAGGTCTCAGACACTGCAGAGGTGGGCCAAGGCCCCAGCATGACCCCCAAAATCCCTCCACCTGGCAGGTTCTAAGGGGGTCCTTATCCTCCTGGCTTCAGCGGCACTGGAGACCCCTTCTTAACACATGCTGGTGAAAAGAGCCCCAGTTTGGTCCATGGCATTAAAATCAGGAAAAAAACATTTTCTGAGCTCCCTGCAGCCTGTGACACTGCAGGCAGCCCCCTCCTGTTTAATGACCACTCTTCTGTGCTGGGAGGAGGTGAAGCCTGGGTGCTTTCTCTTCCTCTCCACTTCTCTGCCCCCCCCCC